ACAGACTTTTAAAAGTCCCGATTTTGTGCTCCGTGGCTCCGCCGCTTGCCGGGAGCCGGCCCCTCCCCCCGGGGTCTGTCTTCCCGTCGCTTTGGATTCACTTCTCCGCCGGTCCTGCCTTTCAGAAAGTGGTTGATTTTCTGTTTCTAGAATTGCTGTTCTTCTTCTCTTCGATCTCCCGTTGGATTTGTAGGTGTTTTCAATCTTTAGATAAGCTATCCGGCTGATCTCCCGCTCCCTGAAGTAGTCTCAGCTGCTACTTCTCCGCCATCTTGACTCCTCCCCCCAACAGATTGTATTATTAATGGAGATCGAAACAGAAGTTCTTCCTAATTATTATAAATTGTTGATTGTATTCATGGGGTAAATCCCTGAGATGATAATAGCTTCAGTTCCAGTGATGTGTTCTCTGTGATATCAAGTTTCATGTTTATGTGGTAGTGATTTTCATTTTTTCTCTATGTTTTATGTACTGGTGACTAAACAATCATTTTGTTTATTCTGTATTCGCCCTAAGGCCTTAACTTGCCTTTAATGTATTTTATGTGCATTTTTAAAATCTTTAATAACATTGGCCATTTTGTGCCTTCGTAATTTCCCTTAGTATGTCCCTTCCATTCCATTTGAAGGAAAGTAGTGAGCAAAACTAGGCCAAACACGGTATTCTGGACAATGGCTTTGAAATTTACTCCCCCTGGTGGTCCAAAGCTCTGTTGCCCTGTGAGGTGGTCCAAAGCTCTGTTGCCCTGTGATGTCATCAGAATGTTTTCTCTGGTATCAACAATTGTCATGGAAAATAAATGACAAACTTGTAATTGTTTCCAAAAACATACATGAGGTCCCCTTATCACTTAATGAACACAGTTTCTGCAGATTTCATTTTATTACTACAATTTATTTGTATAAGTTGTGTATAAGTACCCTCATACCTTTACACTAAAATGTCCAGGATGTTTATCATACGGAGTAAATGGAAAATTGTTCTTTTACTGCAAAAGCTTCAATGATTTTACATAAATTACCTCACAAGTTCTTCTATCTGTTATAAATACAGTATGTTTAAACTTTTCTGTAAGTATTTTCAAGTTGTGAACACTGAGACATAAATCGAATAATGTGTTAAAACTCACCGAATCAAAAGAGGCTTTTAAATCATGGAATACTAGCATTGTAAAAAGCCTTTGAAATATATAGTTCAACTTCTGAACTTCACGTAAGAGAAAATTGAAATCATTGCATCAGGGTTTAGATCAATTGTCTTTATTTCCTCTTAAAATAATTTCTCTTGCATCTTCTTTAATTCTGTAGTAACTGAAAATATTAATTGGGTTATAAATAATAATAGTAGAGATGGGTAAAGATCATGTATTTAACCAATAAACATGTATTGAGTGTTGCTTATTGATATGGAGAGTACAGCAAGGAACAAATATTTGTTGGTATATTGAGACTGAGGAGTCTGTGGTTTATCTCAGTAAACACAATTGAGCAGGTGATGTGGACCATCAGCTCAGGTGAGAGAATTGAGATGGAGCTCAGGGTGTGGGACAAATAGGCATAGAGAAGAGGGGTTTAATTTTAATGTATTAGGAGAAAAATGTGACAGCCTGGAGCAAATCTGATTTGGAGGAAGTTTTGAAATCTCTTTTCTCTTTTTCCCTTTCTCTTTCCTATTCCTCTTCTTTCCACTTCTTTTCTTCTTTCTTCCTTTCCTTCCTTCCTCTCTTCCTTTCTTTTCTTCCTTTCTTCCTTTCCCTCTCTTTCTTTTCCTCTTTTCCTTCTCTTTCTTTCCTCCTTTCCTTCTTTCCTTTCTTTCTTTCTTTCTTTCCTTCTTTCTTTCTTCCTTCTTCCCTCCCTCACTTCCTCCCTTCCCTTCTCCCTTCTTTTCTTTTCTCTTCTTTGTTTAGTTGGGAACATTGATATGTATTTATTAGTCCTGGGGAAAAATTTATGGTGAAATGAATTTGATTATATCAGAAAATCTTTAGATGATTATTGAAGTAATTAAAGAGGCCATAAGGGATGAAATTTAGAACGTATATGGATATGATTTTTTTCCGGAAAGAAAGAGGGACACCTAATTCCTCTGAGTTGAATAGGAGGAGGTAGAGGACATTGTCAATATAAACAAATTTGCTACTCATGTAACAGGATATTGATCATTAGTTTCCATTTAGTGTCCTTTATTTTCTTAATAAAGTAAGAGGTAAAGTCATCTTTTGAGACTAAGGAGGAAAGTGGAGGAATGGGAGGCCGGAACTGTATAATAAATGACAGAGAAGATAACTAGAAACATGTAAAAAATTGCTCTGTAGTGCCTGAAATCCAACCAAGGTTAGAAATTTGGAATCAGAATTGTATCAGTGGTACCGTTGTTTCAGCAAGAGTTTTCAGAGACGTGGGGAGTAATGGAGAAGATAGACATTTGAATCAGTTTTGAAACTGGTACTTTTCAATATAAGTAGGGTCCATTGAATGATAAAGCTGTGATGATTGACAAGTATCTTGTGAGTCATGGGTAAGTAAAGAAGTAAGGAAATTAGTTGTTGTACGTTACGAGGACGGTGAGCCAAGGAGCTCAAGGCCTCGAGAAGGTGAAACAGTAGATGAACTAGCAAAGGACACTGATAGACACTAAAAATTCAATAAAAGTCAGATGTTTCAGGGGGATTTCAAGTTCACCATGTCCAAAACTGAACCTCCCTCTTCCCCCCAACTCCTTCCTTTTATATTTTATATCCTGGTAAGTAATGCTGTCCACTGAAGAATGCACACCAGAAACCGGAGAATGATCCTAGGCTATCATCTTGTTGACATCCTCCTCATAACATCAAACCCACTTTTTTTTTTAATTTTTTTTTTCAGCATAACAGTATTTCTTGTTTTTGCCCCACACCCAGTGCTCCATGCAGTCCAAACCCACTTTTTTGTATCTTTCAAACCCAGCCCCTCCCTCATTTTCATTTACAAGTACAATTTAAGATCACCTGGGCTCTGCATGTATAAAACTTGATGATTTTGTACGTATTTCATGGGGTTGGTGATGGGACTAAATGAGACAATATATCCATTAGGTTCAGTACAGTACCCAGCACATGGTAATTATTGTCAATTTTCCTTATTAAATACTAATACTTGTCAGCTCTTAGAATTGACATGCAAAATGAAACCTGTTTCCCGTCCTTGCCTAGAAGAATGAAAGTATTGAAAAACAACCTAAATTGCTCATCAAAAGTACCACATGCTATACAAATTAACTTTTTTATATAAAGAGTGTGTGTATATATGTATTTTTTCCTGCCTAGACTTTAATAAGACTTTTAATTTGAGATCTGAGTGACAAGTTCAGAATGTGTGATATAAATCATGCCACTCTAAGCACAGCTAAGCTAGGACTCAGACATTTTACTGGCATTATCTATAGCTATATATCTCATAAATAATTATTTAGAGAGATATATAAAAGGTTAGAGTCACACCCATTGTCCTCTATTCCAACTTAGCAGTCTTTTAACTGAACAGCCAGTAAAATGGAGGACAGATTATCTTTCTTCATGGATTAAAGTGAATTTGAGAATATAGCTTGGGTACACAGTCAGGCTGGCTCCTAATAACTTCAGCACTGCTACCTTACATAGTGGGGGTAGAGGCTGCATGGTAAACTTCACTTTTGAAGGCCAGCTGAGGTAAGGACCTAGAAAGGCATGAAATGCTCAGCTCCTTTCCCCTGTTCATCAGTTGAATATTCATTCCTCTCTCTCGTGGAGGACATACTCAACAGACAAAGATGATTAGAAAGCCACTTTTTCTAACTCTGTGCATCAGAAAGGGGAGATATTCCTATGTCTTGGCCATAAAACAAACAGTAGGGGAAGAGAGAAAATAGTTCTCATTAATATGCCCCCAATTATATAAATATATGATTGATATAATGAGCCTTTTCTAAGTATTGAAAAATAGGAGGGTAAACATTACATTTTCAGGTAATGGCACAGAAATTGGTGCCTCAGAAAATACTATAATTCAAAGTGAGTTTGATCAATGAAATCTACTCTTTGAAAATGAGTAAGGGAATCATAAAGGGCAAAACAACCCAGAAATAGGATAATAGACATATTAGAAACATGTTAATACTTGAACATATTAACATAATATTAGAAATGTGCTAATAGGAATAAGATATGTGAAATTAATATATTGAGTATTCTTACAACTCATATTACAGTTATTATATTAATTTTTGACAAGTAAGTATAAAGCAAGACATGGAAAAAATAGAAAGTTTCCATAGATCAACCAAAAAGTGGGGGGCGTGTAAAATGCAGGCAATGTTGAACAGCAGAAAGAACATACTTGTGCTTTGAAATGCACAGATCTGGGTTGAAATATCAGCCCTGTCACATGCTAGGTGCAGGGCCTCCTCCATGCCAGTCGACCTCCCCTAGCCTACTTGCTGGTCTCTGAAATGAGTGCAACTTCCTGTGGATGTAGGGCTAGAATGCACCACATCATGCCCGGCCTATGGTAACCTCTCACACTCCCACAGTTTCCTCACTCCCTGGGAAACATATGATTAAAAATAAAGCCTGAAAGAAATGAAATAATTTGTTTTGAATGAAAAGAGGTGACTTAGCCAGCCTTTCCTTCCAGGAAACAGGCTCCTAATAAGCTAAATCTGAGTGGGAAGAAACAGCTTCAAATTGCACCAGTTTTCTTCTTGACTCCTGGGGAGTGTAATACTGGACTAAGTCCTAGTTCATAAAGTGTCCAAACCAGGAAGTTATGCAAAATAGTCATAAATATATATTTAAATAATTTGAGAATAACCTAGTCTAATCTCTTCTGCAAGAATTTTAATCACACATGTGTCTTAAGTGGCTATACAGACTATGATCCAATTCATTTATCAGAAAACTGAACTGCCCTGAATATTTTCTGAAATATATTTGTTAATTTATTGTATCATACATATTAATTTTTAATAAAATTCATTTTTCTAGCTATTACAACTGGGACAGTCATATTGCTGTTTGGAATTCAACTCCCAATTATCAAGTGATTGCTGATAACCCAGAAGGCTTACTTTTCAAATACAAAAGAGACAGAAAAATTCTCAACGTGGATCCAAAGGTAAGACTGCTTTTATATTTGTATATCTCTCTGAATTTTATTGTATTTTTTCCACTATTAAAAAATCTATTAAATATTTGACACTCTTCAGTAATTTAAACCTAGAAATAAAAGACTATGTTGAAACATAAGGTATTCATTATTCCTTAAGAAAAAAACTCCAAACTTAATCTATTATCAGAAATCAGTAAGGAAGAGTTTGGGGGGATTTAAATAGAACTCACAAGTGAGAATTCTTCTCCGAGCCTACAAAGCTAGATCAGGGAGCCATCGGACAGCGCGTTTGTGTGCTCGGACCCTGGGTATGTCCAGTACTTTTTGCTCTAAATGAGAAGACAAACTATTTATGGAAGGGAGACTCTCACCTCAGAAACATTCCCAGAATTCTAATCCCTTTTTATATGTAACTAACAGTGAAAACAGTATTACCCTTTGTGTATTTCTAAGTGATAGCTTAGAAAATACATTTTATTTAAATATTTTAAAGACATGTCCCATGATATTTTGTATTTGTTCAAGGACAAATATTTACATCTTACATATTTTCAATGACTGTGTTTGCATCATGACTTTTAATCATAACTTGTATGTTTGGAGGAGAAGGTTAAAACTTGATTTAAAGTCATATGTTTTTGAGTTGCTTAGGCATTTTATTTAAATTTTGGAAAACATATTACTCATATGACAGCATCGGTCTAAAATCCAAGCCAAGAAGAGTATTCCTTCACAGTGAAAGAAAGGAATTGTATGATATGCCTGGGATAGAGACAAGGATGGACGAAAGGAAAATTGGAGTCTGGTTCTAAAAACTTTCCCAAAACTTTTTAGAAATTTAAAATAAAAATAATAATAATAAAATTATTTTGTTTCATATCCAATTAGTAAAATTTCTTGCTGATAAAAGTTGCACAAAGTTATATGCTCAAAGAATGAAAAAAGAAATTCTGTAGTAAGAAATGGATTGCTGTCTGCAATCAGATACAACTCCAACACAGTGACTTAACAGAAGCTTCTTTCTTTCTCACCTATGAGTCTCAATTGTCAGTCCAAAGTTTGAATGGCTGCTCCACAGTCATCTAGGCCAAAAGGGCCCTCATCCTCTTGGACCAAAACAGATCTCCAGTCAAAACAACCACATTTCAAACAGAATTCATGGAGGGAGTTCAGACAGTGCAAAGGACACCTCTGCTCCAGTGCCTTTTAAGGAAGTTACCCAAAAGCTACCACTCGAAGGTTCACTTATATTCCATGGCAAGAGCTTAGTGGCAACATCTATCTACACGGATGACTGGGAAATATAATCTTTATTCAGGTGGTCATACACCTAGCTGAAATCAGAAGTTCTGGAGAAGGGAGAGAAGATGTGCAAGTAGAAACTAGCAGTTTCTGACACAATGTTATCTCCTTCAAAAGAGCACTACTCTTGGGGCACCTGGCTGGCTCAGTAGGAGGAGCATACAACTCTTGATCTTGGGATCGTGAGTTCAAGCCCCACATGGGGTTGTAGAGATTACTTAAATAAATAAAATTAAGAAAAAAGAACACTACCCTTTAACTGGTCTAGGGTTTCTCATTAGTAAAATGAAGGGTTGAACCTGAAAATAATTACAGCCATAATTATTATGAATCGATAACTATCAGCACAGCTTCTCTCTAGTGGTGCCTCTTTGCCTCTCACAAATGTATGTCAAAATTGAGACAAAGTACAGGAAACTTAATTATTCACAGAGACTTTTACTCTTAGAGGGTTAAAGACATAAAAGTATTAATGGCTTCATTAGGAGGTACGAAAAAAAATTTTTTAATCAGTTGATAATACCACACTTAAACTACTTTATGGCTCTATTTTAACTAATGGCATATACATATTTCAAGAACGTATGTCATGAATTATAGTTTTTACAGCCTTTGTGGAATCATTATGGAATAAAAACTGTTTCTTCAACATGGTTTAAATAAGTTAACTAAATCACTCACTTCCTAAATAATCATGAGACTTCAAAGATTTAATTTAATTATACATGAAATATAACATTTTCTTCTTTGAGGGAGGAAGGTTGTTTGTTTGTTGTTGTTTTTGTTGTTTAGACTTTATTTATTTATTTGAATGAGAGGGAGAGAGAGAGTGAATGAGAGAGAGAAGGAGCAGGGGGAGGGACAGAAGCAGACTCCCCATTGTGCAGGGAGCCCAATGTGGTACTCAATCCCAGGAGCCTTGGATCATGACCTGAGCTGAAGGCAGACGCTTAACGAACTGAGCCACCCAGGTGTCCCTAGGGGGTGAGAGATATTTATATTTATAATTCAAAAGATTCGTGATGAGTCTTAAGGAAAGGTATTTCCAAATCCTAGAGGAAGAATAGGGTCCAGTTAATTAGTGATGAGAGGAAAAAAATATTTAAAGGAATTAGTTATAAAAGAACCATTGATGGGACACCTGATAAAATTTAGGTACTTATATTTAATTTTTCTTTTAATTTTATCTTTTCGAAGATAAATCTTAGAGCTGACCTACTAGGAAAAAAATGCTGGTTTCAATACCAATAAACAAAATTCTATGCCTTACTTTATAATTAACTGGCTGCCTGGCCTGGTGAAATTCACTTAACTTCTCAGAGTTTTCACATTCACAAATGGAAGATGTGAGTGTTGCTGCTGTTTCCTGATCTCTAAAGTCCCATGTACAGCCCCAGTTCTCAGAGATTCTGAGTCAACTTGTCCCAGGCATACATATTTTCACAAACAGCCAGGGTGGTTCTATTTCAGCTTATCTATGAACCACAAATGGAGAAAAGCTTCTTCTTAAAAGGACAATAATCTCAAGAGATCTGGCACTCTGTTTTCAAACAGTGTTCTCAAACATTTGACCTCAAACAAAATATAACACATATATTTTAATTTTTATGGACTAGATATGAAGTTAGCATATACATCTACATAATACCTTAACTTACCTTCTTCTAAGAGCTATGATCCTTTTATCTTTCATGCACTCACATAGCATCTCTTACAGACCTACAGAATAATCAAAAAACAAGCTGTCGAGTTTTTAAAATTACAAATGCACAATGATAAGTTACATTTTTAAACTTAATGTTATTATTAATAATTTTATTTGAAATTCTTCCTAAAATGAACACCAATACTGGCACAAAAACAGACACATAGACCAATGGAACACAGTAGAGAGCCTATATATGGACCCTCAACTCTATGGTCAAATAATCTTAGACAAAGCAGGAAAAAATATACAGTGAAAAAAAGACAGTCTCTTCAATAAATGATGCTAGGAAAATTGGAATGCTATGTATAGAAGAATGAAACTCAACCATTCTCTTATACCACATGCAAAGATAAACTTGAAATGGATAAAAGGCCTCAACATGAGGCAGGAATCTATCAAAATCCTAGAGGAGAACATAGCCAGTAACCTCTTTGACATTGGCCACAACAAGTTCTTTCAAGATATGTCTCCAAAGGCAAAGGAAACAAAAGCGAGAATGAACTTTTGGGACTTCATCAAGATCAAAAGCTTCTGCACAGCAAAGGAAACAGTCAACAAAACAAAGAGGCAACCCACAGAATGGGTTGTAGTGTCGCAAATAACACTACAGACAAAGGGCTGATGTCCAAGATCTTTAAAGAACTCCTCAAACTCAACACACACAAAACAGATAATCACATTAAAAACTGGGCAGAAGACATGAACAGACACTTGTCCAAAGAAGACATACGAATGGCTATCAGACGCATGAAAAAATGTTCGTCATTAGCCATCAGGGAGATTCAAATCAAAACCACATTGAGATACCACCTTACACCAGTTGGAATGGCCAAAATCAACAAGACAGTAAACAACAAGTGTTGGAGAGGATGTGGAGAAACAGGAACCCTCTTACACTGTTGGTGGAAATGCAAGTTGGTGCAGCCACTTTGGAAGACAGTGTGGAGATTCCTTAAGAAATTAAAAATAGAGCTACCCTATGACCCTGCAATTGCACTACTGGGTATTTACCCCAAAGATACAGATGGAGTGAAAAGAAGGACCATCTGTACCCCAATGTTCATAGCAGCAATGGCCACGGTCGCCAAACTGTGGAAAGAACCAAGATGCCTTTCAACAGACAAAAGGGTAAAGAAGATATGGCCATATAAACAATGGAGTATTATGCCTCCATCAGAAAGGATGAATACCCAACTTTTGTATCAACATAGACGGGACTGGAAGAGATTATGCTGAGATAAATAAGTCAAGCAGAGAGTCTCGATTATCATATGGTTTCACTTACTTGTGGTGCATAAGGAATAACACGGAGGACATAGGGAGATGGAGAGGAGAAGTGAGTTGGGGGAAATTGGAGGGGGAGACAAACCATGATAGACTGTGGACTCTGAGAAACAAACTGAGGGTTTTGGAGGGGAGGGAGGTGGGGGTTGGGTGAGCCTGGTTGTGGGTATTATGGAGGGCACATATTGCATGGAGCACTGGGTGTGGTGCATAAACAATGAATTTTGGAACACTGAAAAAAATAAAATTAAATTAAGTTAAAAAAATAAATAAAATCAATACCATAACTTATAACACCATAATATGCTCTAAAATACTGTAAGAACAACAAAACTCAACTCTCCTTGTCTTTTCCTTCAAATAATCCCTTTGAAATATTTTACGCTGGTTGCGCAGGTAGCTCAGTCAGTTGGACATCTGCCTTGGGCTCATGTCATGATCTCCAGATCCTAGGAGATCCAGATCCAGATCCTCAACAGGAAGCCTGCTTCTTCCTTTCTCCGGCTCCCCTTCCCACTTGTGCAGTTTCTCTTTCTCAAATAAATAAGTAAAATCATTAAAAAAAAAAGAAATATTTTACACTTAAAATTTTAAAAGGTCAAGATAAATGAAAGGTGGAAACTGTGATAAACAGGATGTCTTTCCTCTGTATAACACAGATGTGGACTCATTAACTCTGAAATGAGTTAATGTGGTTCCCATGAAACATAGT